TTTATAGTCAAGTGACAATATCTCCACTTGCATTACAACTGAGACAAAACTAAATTTTTGCGTTACAACTGAGGCAAAATTATCTTAAAACTGTAAGATATTAAGAGAAGCAGATTTCAGGGTTGCCATCTGGATTGCACTATTGGATGATGAATCCATTCCTGAAAACACCTCATAACATATACTGTAGTTCTCTAGGGAGGCCTCAGGAGATAAAATTCTCATAGGAAGAATGCTTGTTAAGAATAAAGGGCAAGTATGCTAACTTCCTACTTGAATAAATATCAACATAGTAATTTAGTAAACAGAGCTCCATAGTAACTGGAAAAGTAGTTCCCTCTTATTCTGCCATTAGTTCCTTTCCATCAAGATAGTTTTCAAGGAGTAGTTTGAAAATCAATCAGACAAGCTCAAGGACAGAAATCAGCTGATCAAGAAATATGAAATAAAAATGAAGACTGATGAGATGTAAAAGGATATGCATGCACTCCAGAGAGAGATAATGCTCAGGCGTCTGTTCAAGTCTGAAGCAGCAGGCTATTTCTAAGCTTCTTCACAGGGAAAAGATTAAGATAAATGTGTGGATACATTTTTAAAAGTCTTGTCTTCTTTTATTATGTTTTATTCCAGCTGGTAGGAGAAAAATATAATTTGGTGATGAGGCAATGTTCATTGTGCTTTTATCACTGCTTACAAGGAAATGGAAAAATAGTTGATACTAAATGCTTTGACAGCTGAAACCAGCACAAGGGCTTGACTTACAAGAAGTAGGATAGCATAATTCTGTTGAAGGGAGGAAAAAGCAGGAAGTCCTAACACACAGAATGTGGTACAAGTAAAGGTGAATCAAGCCCTTAAAATGATAACCCATGATTGAATATTAGCAATCAGGGCAGTGAGCACAGTTTAATGAATATTTACACAATATTCACTGATACTCCAGACAGCTCAGTATAAGAAGCATAAGAGCTCATTAGTGAACCATTTTGTCCAGGGTAGTTTATCTGCTTCACAGCTGATCCATAAAGGTGACGCACCATGCTAAGTTATAACTCTTCCAGTTATGAAGGTAGGTCACTTAAGAGTAAGCTGGTTTATGGCAGACAGACATGTTCACAGCAAAAAGACCTTACTACACAGAGAAATATTTCAATGTGCAGGGAATAACTTGAAATCCAGTAAATTGGGTGGGAAATTATTGGATAAAAATATTTAGGGACTTTAGCCTCTAATCTGTGTTTCCAGAAAAGATTCATGAAGACATGGATGTTTAAAGTCATACGTAAGAGACTCCAAAAAATGTAATACAATCATGAGAAAAGCCAGCTGAAGATTAATTTTGAAAGTCATTAATTGGAAGACCTATATAAATCAAACATATTTAGCATTTTTAAAAGTATGAAATGGATTTTCCTCATATTGCCTATGCAGAATGGGAACTATCCTCCAATTACCAACACATCAGATTTTGCAGAGACCAAAAATAGGACACAGCTATTTCATATACACAGACTAATGGAAAAGAGGGGACAATATGTATCTATGAAGCTGATATACAACACTGTAAGAAATCAGCATGTTTCTCAGAAATGAAACAATGGTTTGCACCAACACACAGAAATGAAAAGAAATTCCACTAATCGAGATTTTTCATTATACAGATCAGAAAATGTTGTGTACTTGACAGAACTCCAAAAAGGAGTTGGCACACTTTACTCCAGTCTTAGTTTTCCTTCTAATCACACATAAACTGTGAATTTAACTGGGATTCTAAAGCAAAGAAACAAGTAAAGGCAGAGGCAAAAAGGGAAGATATTGGAATTGGAATGCAACATGACATCAAGATGACACAAGATACTGCTAACAGTGACATAAAGACACTGCTAGCTAGCATCAGAAACAGACCTATTAGTGTTGCCACAAGAGAAAAAAATGCTATATGACTTTCTCAATTCACAGAAAAGTAATAAGCTTAGTGTCAAGCAGACTGGGTTTATCTATCAGTCATCAGCCTGTATGACAAAGAAAGGAACTTTCAGAGACTAACCACCATAATTGCTTAAATTCAACAATCACAACAAACAAGACTAAGAGGTTTTCATATATATGGAGAAAACAGACTACTATAATTCCCCACAAAGAATGACAATTAAAGAAAACACCGCCTACAACACATATATGTTCATCCTATCCACAATGTAAATTCTCTAATGCCCACATAAATAGATGACTCATCATTTTTGAGTGGACTAAAGAGGAAAATTACATACAAAAGCCCTTCAGCTAACAAATAAATCTTTCTCCTAGCTTTTTGTCTTGTTGAGTATGCAAAGACTCCAGCTCTTTATATCTGGTTCTCAAATTGGAAGGAAAATCCAATGTTCTTTCAAATAAAGGAAAAGACTAATAAAGATTTATATTACATTTTTTCCCCATTTATGCCTAATATGTTACACTATGGAAGGCCTTTCAGCAATTATCTCTCAAAGATTCTTGAACCTTTTACTGATTTCTTCATCTTTCCCT